TACATATATACGCACACGTAGATATATTTACTGTATAATGTGTAACGTATGATCTTAGAGTTAAAATTGGCAATTAATATCATAAAAAAGAACCTAGGCTTACCTTAGCCAGGTTACCCAGAAAAAGTAGGAATATCTGACAAATTATTGCCACTAAAACCACCATACCTTGTGAATTTATTGCCATTCAATAAACTCTGATATTGTGGAAAGACACAAATAAATCTGTTGATGTTTTTGACATAGCGTACTTATGGCAAGCCAATGAGGTACAATAAAACAGAAGAAGAGTGCAGTCACAGAGGCCTAGCAAAGATAGTGTCTCAAGGAAGCACAGCTGTATCAAATGCTACTGTGAAGTCTACGAAGTAAGAAGTGACCACTAGAACCGGTGACATGGAGTGATTCTGCTAAGAGCAATTTAGTGGTGATGTGATAAATAAGTGACCACAGGAGAAAATTGGGGAAGGTATCAAAGAAATGGAAGAGTAGCTAAGAAGGGAATATGGTGTCTGACAGGTGTTTTGTTTTTCAAATGGGAGATGTTTGTATGTGGATGTGATCATCTAAAAAAGTAGAAACTGATGATGGAGAAGGGGACACTTCAAAGCAAAAAAAGGTAGAATCCAGATCATAGGTACAGCATGGTCCTTAGAAGCAGGTTCATGTGGATAAAAATGCAGGGAGGTGTGACAACAGGGGTAAGAAGGCGGCTGATCCATGAGCCTGGGCCTAGGATGACAGAAATGTCCTCTCAATCATAGCAATGTTTCCTTATCTAGACAAATGGGAGCTGGACATATGACCAGTACACTCACGGCTTCAAGGCCCAGCTGCAGCATTTTGCTAAATGGCAGACTGTTGTTGGGTATCACTGGCTACTGGGCAGCCTAAGCACAGACTTAGGAGAAAGTTATTAGAAGATATAAGAAGATACTATTTAGTCATGAATTCAGTCACAGCTTCAGTTTAGAATTCAAACAACTTCTGAACAGGAACTGTATCTCTTGCATTGCTAAAGTGCTAAAGTTGCTAGGTCTTTGTTAGTCAAGAAAAACTTAAGAGGAATAAGCCTTGCTTATGAGCTGCTGAAAGCATGTGAGAAATGTGCTATATGAATTTAATTATGTGTGCAGTAAATAATTTGGCCTTGCCTTGAGACAGGTCTGGCTTTTGTAGCAGGCTTCTGGGGAGTAACCTCTAAACTCCTGTCATTTCCTGGATGAGGTGAATATCTCTGCTGTTCATAATGGGCCCTTTAGGCCATATGGTATTAGTGTGACTTCCAGAGAGGGGGGATATGGAGATAGTTTAATCAGATCAATCAATCAGGCCTATGCAACAAAGCCCCAGTAATAACTCTGAACAGTGAAACTCAGGCAACACCTCTGGTTGGCACTAGTCCCCTATGTATTGTCACACACTGATGCTGGGAGAGTGATCCATCCTAAGGCCAATGGAAGCTGTGCTTCTGGAACCTTCTCTGATTATTCTCGGCATTTTCCTTTGGCCTAGTTTTGACCTGAATCCTTTTCCCATAACTGTGAGTGCAATAACACTTAGTGAGCTCTTTGGTTCTTGCAGAGTGCTATTCAACCTGAGTGGTTTGAGGAATTCCCCCAAATGTGCAGTTGATATCAAAAGTGAGAACAGTCTTCTGGAGGACTATGCCCTCAGGCTATTTGTTTGGCAGTTAGCCAAACAGGTTAACTCGGTATTGAAAGAGATCTAGAAATCATCTAATTTAACTCCATTTCACAAGTGAGGAAACAGAGTCTACAGAAAGAAACAAAATGTTATGACAGGGTAGGGAATCACTCCTGAATATTCTGATTTCCAGCATAGTATGCTAAAATGTTTAAATATATTCCGAGTTTTAAAAAAATAAGGGATATCATGGTTCAGACATGATTTGGGTATGACCTCCTCTAGGGGTTCATATGCTAAAATTAAAACTACACTGAGAGGTAATTTGATTGACAAGTTACTTCTAACTACCCATTGAGGCATGCTATGAATTGAAAGGCAGGACTAGGACTGAAGCATCTTCATTTCATCACATTTACAAAGTCAAGAAACTCTAAGCAAAGGCCTGATTTTTATTTTTATTTTTATTTTTTTGAGACAGGGTCTCCCTGTAGTCCCAGCTGACCTGAACTCACTGTGTAGACCAGGCTGGCCTTGAACTCACAGTGATCTGTCTGCCTCTGCCTCCCAGGTGCTGGGATTAAAGGCGTGCGCCACCACGTCTGGCCTGATTCTTTTTTTTAATCCATGAAAATTGTTTTTTTCTTTTTTTTTTTTTTAATCCAAAAAATTTTTTTTTTTTTTTTTTTTTTTTTTTTTTTTACATGTCAGACAAGCTCTGCCACTGAATGATCCCTTCAGATCCAGATGTCATACCCAGTGTGAGACACTCACAAGAGGTAATGTATGACAATATCCCACTGTACAATGCTATTCTCAACATGGACACCCCAAAGACTCCTAGTCAACCATTCTTAACCCAGAATCTCCCATCAGTGAGGATGGAAGTATTCTACCCAAAGAAAATTTAGAGCATAAAAAATAGTGCAGAAAAAGGGGTAGAGAGAAGGCTAATGTATCCTTCAACTCTCACGAGTGAGGCTTCTGTGTACATTAGAGTGTGCTGCACACAGAAGACCACAACTGGCCAAGTTTTGGAGAATAAGAGACTGTAGAGTATAGGATGGGACTCCTATATGGAACCTCACCCACCCACGGCTCAGGGACCATTGCAGAAGAGGAGGTGGAAAAATTGTAAGAGCCAGGGCTGGTTCATGAACACAGGTCAAGGGGGAGGCCTCCAGGCCACTGGAGGCTTGCTCACGTGAGACTGTGGCAGCAGTATCATCAAGCACGGGACCCATGTCAGCTCAATTAAACAAGGGCCCAAAGGGGAGGTGAGAAATAGGTGGCGGGCCAGCACTAGATTGAGAACTATTTGAGTCTGACTGCCTGCTGGGTGAGGGAGAATATGACTTACATACAACCACTGGATGGGCTGACTAGAATCCAGTGACACATTTACACTGAAGGACATCTGGGTCCAAACACCTGAATGAATAGGACTCAGCATGTATGGCAGAGTGCATAGGGTTTGGTGGGGGGAAAGAGGGACGCATGAATGGGGAAGGGGAATCTAGATTTGAGTGGGAAATGTATGAAATTTAAAAAGCTCAATAAAAATAAGTGAAAAAAAATCCTTAGATTGGATCTCATATGATAGATGAATAAACAGGTCCAGAGAAAGAACTAACTTCAACTATCACACTATTTTATTTTAGTCAATTTAGGGGAAATATTTATTTATTATAAATTGTTTCTGCCTTCCTTAAATGGAATATATACTACTGACTAAAATATCAGATTTCTTCTCTTGACAATTCAGATTCATTATTCTGAAAATCAACACCATTTCTATTCTATGATGCTGTGATACTTGAGTGTCTAGAGTAATTAGCTTCCATCCTAAATAACTCAGATCGATTTATATTGTGGTTTTTCTTTTTCTCCTTTCCCTATCCAGTATAAGGCTATCAGCCCTTATTTCTTATTTAAGAAATTTTAGAATCTAACTACTCTGCTCTTGCATTGCAGTATAATCTTGGAAAGGCATGTCCTTCCAGAAAAGGTAGTGATGTTTCTCAAAGTCTAAGATTATAGGATCCAAACCCAGAGTCTGCTTACTGAAGTAAGTTAACCTTTTTTGAGGATTTTATTTTGTGCTATGCCATATTTTATGGATTTTTTAAAAACTTCATACAATTCTCATAACCGCCCTATGGGATAGGGACTGTGGTTACCTTTCTCAACTACTGATATGGATCTTGTCAAAGCCACAGAGTCAACAAATTTAGGGTTTGGAATTTGTACTTCAGGGATTCTTATTTCAAAGCTGACATTCTAAACCCTATTCTATCCCCCTAATTGTCTGAAATAGAATTTTGAAGGGAAGATTTTTCTGAGAACTCTGCTTTACAAATGCCCAAACTTGAGCTTGATTAAAGGTCAATGATTCCATCAAAGTTATACAGCTGTTTAGAGGGGGAAAAAGTAAGACTTAGTTCTTTGATTCATTTTCCAAGTTCTTACCACTTCATTATATAAAAGATCAGTGGAGAGAGGCATCTTGGAGACACTCTTTTTTTTTTTTTTTTTGGTCTTTTTAAGACAGGGTCTCCCTGTAGCCCCAGCTGTCCTGGAACTCACTATGTAGACCAGGCTGGCCTTGAACTCACAGAGATCCACCTGCCTCTGCCTCCGGAGTGCTGGGATTAAAGGTGTGCACCACCACGCCCGGCCTGGAGACACTTTTGAAAAACAAGATCCCTCCTTCATGGGTGTACAGAACCTCAGACTCAGGGTCTTATACTGTCTGATTTATTCTAAAGCTACTGGGCCTAATGTTCTACAAAAACTTGTGTGCATTTCCCAATAGACCTGCATCTGGGATACTGCCTCTGTGATGAAGTAGTCTGGAATCATAAGAGAACTCACCTTCTCTCCCATAGGAACAAAAGTAGATCTCTAATTTGAATTTTACCTTGTCAGTCTCTCTCAGAATTGAGGACCTGAATCTTCCCTTGTTCCGAACCAGTAGCTGTTTCAGAAAGATCCTGCCACAAACATGGCAGTGAAGAGCTAGTGAGCTATCTGACCCAAGCTTTCCTTTGAAAACTCCCAGTTTAAAAACAAGGAACATCCTGAGTCCCAGTAGAAATGGACTATGGCTCCCTGGAGTCTTCAAGTTCAGGGTAAAGATCCAGTCAGTATTCCATATCTGTACAGTTCTATAGCTGACACTGAAGACTGCTAACAAGATAATCTCTATAAAGGGTACTTGAAAGTAATCCTGAGAGGAAGGAAGGGAAGGAAAGGAGAGAGAGAAGGTAGGTATCTGACCTCTACTCCATCCTAGAGCCACCAGCATCTACAGCAGTGGTTCTTGGCTATGCTGGGTCTCTGTACTTTCTTACCTGTGGCTGCTGGGTGGTTAAGGGTCTCTGAGGCGACAGGGCAGGAGTCCTGGACAGCAGCTGGTTCATTTTGCTGATGACTAGTTCAGTGATGAGTTGCCTGTCCTCTACCTGGTGTTCTCCAATCAGTGGCATGCTACAGTCCATGACCTGGTGGAAGATGTGACTCAGGTAAGGAAAGGGTCTGGAAATAATAAGGCCTGGTATGGTTTACAAAATAGGCCTAATTTAAGCCAGCAAAGACTCGTGATTGGCTAGAATCATGTTCCTCCTGCTACAAACATTGCCTCAGACCCCCTCCCTTGCTCTTCACCCAAGGCAGCTCTTTGAGACGCAGACTACTGTTTACTGGGAGCAGCAAGAGGGAGAGAGCAAGGACAGGGTACATTCCTAGGGTGGAAGTTGATAGAAGAGCAGGAAGATATGCAGGAGATTCCCTTAATAACAGGCAGTTTTCATCTCTTGACTTTTCACTGGCATAATCTGCCTTTAAATATGTTCTGCTCATCAAATGATCAGATTCCTGACTTTGCTCTGACTTGTTATGGCATTCCTATGTGCCACTAATTTGTATCTATTCTTCCTTTATCTCAGGTCAATGTTTCCTTCCTTTATGAAATGTCTGTCTTAGGAGAATCACAGATTTTGGTCCACCTCTCATTTATGCAGGGGAAACAGGCCTACCCAGAGAGTGGTGGTATGGTCAACCTGAAAGTTCCATGCTAAGCAGGATATGGAGCAAACTCAGAATCTGAAGCCCATTTTGGGCTCCTAGCACTAGTACTGTAGAAACACCGACTTCTGACAAGAAGCCTTTCCTAATTCCAGGAAGACTAGTCTCAATGAGGGGGAGGAATTCATACAGCCATAACTTTATCTTTAATGGAGGAAAAGGAGTTAACAAAGTCATGTTAGAGGGCCAGAAAGAGTTCAGTTATCTCCCAGGCTCAGAGAGATGTTAAGAAGAGTCGCATGTATTCAGGTGCCCAAGTTGACATACTAATTCACCCTGTGGCCCTTGGGCATATACTCATTGTAGGGGTCTCCATTTCCTCATCTATAAAATGAGCAGGCCAGACTGAATTAGTCCCGAAGGCAGCTTTCTCAGACTAAGAATGACAAAATCACTACAATATTCCCATAGGAATGTAGGCTAGGACCCCAGGAACCTAGATCTAGCATCTATTACTCACTGTGGGGCTCAGTCTAGCTGGTTGGAAACAACAGCTCCCCATTTGTAGAGGTAGATGCAGATTTGCCATTTGGAACCTTCCATAATCAGAAGCCTCTAAATTAAATGTAGTCTAGAATGTTCATAATTTTTTGTTTTTTGATTTTTTTTTTTGAGAGACCCCATAGGGTCTCCCTGTAGCTCCAGCTGGCCTGGATTTGCTATGGAGACCAGGCTGGCCTGGAACTCACAGAGATCTGCCTGCCTCTGCCTCCTGAGTGCTGGGATTAAAGGCATGCACCACTATGCCCAGCCAAAGTTCATAATTTTTAAGTCAAGAGTCTGGCCTCCAGTCTGGGTATTGCTTCTTACTGCCCTTTTCCTTAAGCCAGACTTACCTCAAAAATGTAGTCTTTCCCATCTTTGCCATGTACAGCTTTGACAGCACAGATGTCAAGGCCACCAAACATCTCAGAGCAGGTGTCCACCCATAGCTTGTACCTGGAGGGGATGGGAATGTGTCCTGAGGCTGAGACATTAAACTCACAAGCCCATCTCTGGCAGAGTCACCTTGTTGCCTCCATCTCTTCCATCCCCCACCTTCATCCTTTTTCTGCACCTCTTCTCCATAACCATGATCATTTATTTATGGTGCTTTCCTTTCCTGTTCTCCTGAACCCATCCAAGTTTCTAGGCATAGAGTGGCCTTAGCTCCTCAAGGAGACCCTCCTTGGTTATCTAGCCCATATTAATTATTATTCTTTTCTTGGAACTTCTATGGTATTTAGTCCTTATCTCTATAATTAAGCACATGACTTGGCTCTGCCCAATCTTGTTCACTGCTTGGGCCTTTGTGTTTTCTTTGTCCTGTCTACTCAGAGGTTCCATTAGGTAGTGCTTCTTTTTTATACCTCCTTCACTGATGGCAACCTCCCCATCATTAAGGACTGGACATCTTCTCTCACTTACCTGTCTGACATGGCAATCTGCTCCAGCATTGCAGAGCCAGTGTTTGTCTTCCAGTTTCCTGAGATTGATGTCCTCCTGTAACAAGACCCCATACCAGGAAAGGGCAGGCTGTGAGCCACAATAGCAATGGAAAGACAGGAATTCCACAACTTCAGCTCATTGCTTTATTCCTCATCTGATTCTCCCATGGTCAGCCCAGGGGTCTACCTGTTGGGCCTACAACTATCTGTAATGCCCTGTTCTTTCAACAAGAGTATAGCTCAGGAAGCTCTGGCTCCATGGAGCTTCCCTTAATCTTTTCAACCAGATGAGCTCTTGCTCTCTTCAGAAGCCCTACAAAACCTTACCTATACCTCACTCAAAATCTTAGATCTATTTTTTGCTTTAGATATTTGAGCTGAGTTGTAAGCTAAGACTTGCCCACAACTATGTAAAACACTTGGGGTATGTACTGTGCCTTATACTCCTAGCAGCCTGTTCACTTCTGGACTGACTCTGTATGTAATATACTAACAGAATCCCAATCATTCTGTAAACTTCTTCAGGGTTCTTATGACTATATCCCAATATCTTACTGGGACATTCTTTCAACAGCTAATTTCTGAGGGTCTCTAGAATAGTAGCACTATAACTCTGGGTAAGTCAGTTTACCTCTTTAGACTTGCCTAGGTATCAAAAGGGGTTGATGGTATCAAGAACCAACCTCTGATATGCTGTGTTGCATCCATGAGCACAGGTCAGAGTCAACCAGTCTCGACTAAGAGGTGGATGACCAGATTTCTAGGTCTGGATTTACTCTTGGCTGGTTGGGTGACCTGTGGAATCACTCCACCTCTCTAAGCCTCTTTTATTTGAAACACAGGGTTTCCAGGAAGACCAACTGGTACAGGTTTAAGTAAAACGAGCTGCTTAAAAACACTGAAAATATACTGTTACATTTACATTTACATTATCAATCTTTACCTTGACCCAGTCAGGGGAGAGAGGAGGACCTAGGAAACAGAAGATCCCTCTTTCACTATAGACAGAGCCTCCACATGCTTTATCTCTCAATGCTGCTTCAAGAGTGTTTATGCCAGTTCCCAAGCGTTTTCACCTGGGAGATCTGATTCTAGATGGGGGAAACCCATATATACGGCCAGTTTTTCAGAGCCCTATAGTGCATGAACAAATGGGGTGACAACAATCCTCATACTTAGACAGTGTAGACTGCTTTCAAAAGTGCAACTCACTAAGCCCTTCACAAGAACCTTACTTCAACCCCAGACTGAGAGAAGGTTGGAATTTTGTCCTGCTTTAGAGCCAAGGAGAATAAGACTCATAAAGGTTAGATGGCTTGTCTGTGATTGCATATCTGTTAAAACAGATACAAGATAAAATTCTAGGAATCTTGATTCCTCCAATGTGATATCCTTCCCCCTATACCCACTACCCAGATCAGAAAAGAAACAAACAAGAGACTTTAGAATTGAATTACACCACGGTGGTTGTTTGACTAAAAAATGCCCCTGCCCCGTTCAAGTATATTTGGTCCCCAGTTGGTGGTGGTGCTGTTTGGAGAGATTTGGAAGGTGTGGCCTTGTGGGTGGGCTTTGAGAGTTCACAGCCTTGTCCCACTTCCAGTTTGCCATTTCTGTCTGCTTCTCCTTTGAAGCAGAAATGGTTGAAATATGATCTTCCAGCTCCCTGCTCTGGCTGCCTGCTGCTATGTCTCCTCCACCATTATGGACTATCTATCCCTCTAGAACTATAAACCCAAATAAACTTTTCCTTATAAGTTGCCTTGGTCATGGTAGCTTATTACAGCAACAAAAAGTGACTAATACAAGCTCAGATCAATATAATTTAACAGATAGCTACAGAATAGTCCATCCAACAGATAAGGAATATACATTCTCAGATGGTCCATGAAGCTTTCTCTAAAATCAATCATATATAAGCCAACAATGCTTTATATCTTATCAGAACACAGTGGAATAAAACTAGAAATCAACAGCAAGAGAAACCACAGAAAGTACAGAAATACATGGCAAATGAACAATACACTTTGAATGAACCCTGGGTTATTGAAGAAATCACAGAGGAAAACAAAACATTACTAGAATCAAATGAGAATGATAGCGTAACCTAACAAAATTTCTGAGATATAGTTAATGCAGTTCTAAGAGGAAGGCACAAAGCTAAAATCCTTATATTAAAAAAATCAGAGTGATCAGAAATAAATAATCCACTGATGCACCTCAAGATTCTGGAAAAACAGGAAGCCAAACCCAAATGTAGTGGTTGTAAGAAAAAAAATACAGATTAGGGCAAAAATCAAGAAAGTAGAAATTAAAAGATCAATACACTGAAATAACCATATAAAAAATCATCTCTTTGAAAAGATAAATAAGAGTGACAAATCCCAGGCAAACTAAGTAAGAGAAGAACCAAAACAATAAAATTAGTGATTAAAATGTAGTTGAAACAAGAGACTCCAATGAAGGTCAGAGGATCCTATGGAGTATTTGAAAACATATTCCAGAGAGCTGAAAAATCTAGAAGAAATGGATAAATTCATGAAACACATATGATCAAATAGAATTAAATCAAGAAGATATAAATAGCTTAAGTAGAACCATAACAAGCGACAAATTGAAACAGTAATTAAGTCTAATCAGAAAGAAAAGCCAAGGACCAGATGTATTCACTGCTGAATTCTATCAAACTTGTGAGGAAACTAGGTGAGGTAGTACACACCTTGGATCCTAGCACTCTAGAGGCAGAGGCAGGCTGATGTCTGTAAGATCAAGGCCAGCCTGGTCTACATAGTGAGTTTCAGGCCAGTTGGGACTACGAGGAGACCCTGTCTCAAAAAACCAAAGCAAAGCAAAGCAAAACAACAACAAAAGATATGCAGACATCAGCAAGAATTTTCTGAAAAGGACTCCAATAGCACAGGAAATAATCCAAAAATTGGAAAATGGGATTACATGAATTCAAAATGGCTGCTGTGAATCAAAAGACAGCTCAGGGGGTAAAGGCATTTGTTGCCAAGTCTGATGTTCTGATTTTGAGTCCCAGGACCCACACAGTGTAAGGAGAGAACTGCCTCCTGCAAGTTGTCTTCTGATCTCCACATATGCACCATGGCATGTATGTGAGTGCACTCATGTATGCATGCATGTGCAGATACACACAAATAAATAAATACAATAAAAAATTGTAAAGCTTTCTATACACTGAAAGAATACATGTCCACAAAATCAGCCCTTTAGCAAATACTTAAAGCAATACAAAGAATGGAAAAGAATGAACAACTATACCCAAGGGGCAACAGAAAGAAACTAAATGAAAATGTAATTGTGGAAACACAAAATTAGACCAGGAATGCAAACAGAAATTAAAATAATGGTAACCAGTACACATCTTCCAATAATAACATTAAATATCAATGGACTAAACTCCCCAATCAAAAGGCCCAGTCTACTTAAATGGATTAAGAAACAAATCCATCCTTCTGTTGTCTGCAAGAAACCTATCTCACCTTCAAGGACAGGAACTACCTTAAGGTGAAAAGATGGAAAAGAATATGCCAAGCAAATGGAACACAGAAACAAGCAGGGGTTGCAATTTTTATATCTAACAAAATAGACTTCAAAGTAAAACTAATCAGAAGAGATAGAGAGGGTCATTTCATTCTGATCAAAGGAACAATATCTTCTGACCAAGAAGATATTACAATCATGAACATATATGCACCAAACTCTGGTGCACCCAGTTTCATACAAACAGTACTACAAGACTTTAAGACATAGATTAATCCTAACTCAGTAATATTAGGGGACTTCAGTACCCCACTGTCTCCATTACACAGGTAAATCAGACAAAGAATAACAGAGAGATATCTGAATTAAATGATACCATACATCAAATGGACCTAAAAGACATCTACTGAATATTCTACCCAAGCACCAAAGAATATACTTTCTATTCAGCACCCCATGGAACTTTCTCTAAAATTGACCACATACTGGGGCAGAAAACAAATCTCGACAAATACAAAAAAAATTGAAATAATTCCACGCAATAAAGCTTAAAATCAACAGCAAAAGAAGGCCTAGTAACTACATGAACTCATGAAGATTAAACAATACACTCCTGAATGATGAATGGGTCAAAGAAGAACTCTGCAGAACTTTTGACCAGCCACAGTCATGTAGGTCTGATGTAAGTCTATCTGCTTTCTGCTGTTTGGGTCCATTCTTCAATTCTTTTATGAATGAGACTAAGAACCCTCTAGGGGACCCTCGTTCCCCCCATTTCAGTACAGGCCAAAACTATGGACATATGGTATCTTACTTTAATTAAGAGACAAAATGGCCTATAGTAACAGTATGTGACGGTGCCTAGCAGACAATGATAGACTGGCACCATCCTTTGAAACATTCTGGAAAAAATTCATTTTGTACCCTTTGTATGTTCAGAATGTAGCATTATCAGTAACCCTCAAAAAATTTTTAAAAAAGTATTCCTGGAACTAAATGAAATGTATAATACAACACAACAAAACCTCTGGGACACTTTAAAAGCAGTTCTAAGAGGGGAGTTTATAGCTCTAAGTGCCTACATTAAAAAATCAGAAAGAGCACAAATAAATGACTTAACACTGAACTCAAGACTCTGGAAAGGCAAGAACAAATTAAAACCCAGCAGACAAGAAGAAATAAGAAAAATCAGAGCAGAAATTAGTGAAATATAAACAAAGAAAACAGTACAAAAAATATCAGTGAATCTAAGAGCTGGTTCTTTGAAACACTAAACAAGATAGACAGACCCTTAGCCTAGTTAACCAAAAGAAATAAAGAGCAAATCCAAATTAATAAAATCAGAGACGAAAGGGGAAACACCACAACAGACACCAAAAAGATTCAGAACATTATAAGGGAATGCTTTTTAAAAAATCTATGTTCTATTAAATTTGAAAACATAAAATAATTGGACAGATATCTAAAATCATGGGACTCACCAAAACTAAAACAAGAAGAGATCAACTGTTTAAACAAAACCATAATACATAAGGAAACTGAAACTGT